TTTTTTTTTTTTTTTTTTTAAAGTGCGACGGGTGTAATGGATTTTTATTTGGCCTTTTTGGGGGCTGAAGAAAGAAGATTTTAGAAAAAAGAAGGCGTCAAATGGTAAGTTTAATTTTTTTTTTTTACAGGTTAGTTATTTTATTCCCCCCCTCACTATTTGTAGGGTGAGGGGGGTAGGTAGGGGATAGGTTTTTTTGGGTGGGGGGTTGGTGACTAGGGGCTTGGGACCCCTAGTCACCTTGATTGGGGGGGAGGGGTGTTTCATTTAGGGCCCCCACCCACCGCTCAGGGGTGGGGGCCAGGGGGGGAGGACAGTAGGTCCCCCCCCTTATTGTTTTACTGGGGCCCCCACCCACCGCTCAGGGGTGGGGGCCGGGGGGGGGAGGACAGTAGGTCTCCCCCCCTTATTGTTTTACTAGGGCCCCCACCCATCGCGCAGGGGTTGGGCCCAGGGGGGGAGGACAGTAGGTCCCCCCCCTTATTGTTTTATTAGGGCCCCCACCCACCCACTGCGCAGGGGTGGGGGCCAAGGGGGGGCCAGTAGGTTCCCCCCATCTTTATTTAGGGCCCCCATGGGCATGGGGGGGGGTTATTAGTTCGATTTTTGTTTTTTTTTACAGTGAGCAGCTCACTGCTTACTACACATGCCCCTACTCGCGATATAGCGAGTAGGGGGATATTATTTACTAATACTAAGTAATCTTTACTTAGTATTAGTAAATGTGGCTGAAAGACCAATTTAGGTCTTTCAGCCTTTCAGTAGATAGCTCCCTGATACCGTGGGAATTAGGGAGTTATCTACTAAGCGGCTGCAAAATGCAGCCACAGCAATGAATAGGATCGGAGTTTCATTCATTAGAATGAAATTCCGATCCGAATAAAGTGCCGAATTGTGTTCTAAAAGAAACGAACATACTGTTGTCATTCAGTTAGAACACAATTCGGCAGTTTTGTGGAAAGTGACAGGAAGCATTGTGGGAACACAGAGGGAAGGTAAGGATCATGGGAAAATTGCTCTGAGCAGCGGAAATGAAGCACACTTTGCTCCTCCGCTGGTCAGAGCTGGTCAAGCGGAGGAATCCTCCATAAGGCAAAGAGTCCCTACTTTGTCTTATGATTTTAAAGAAAACTAAAGAAGACAGGAAGAAAAGAATAACAGATCCTGAGAGAGGGTGAGAAGAGGAAGAGATTGAGGAAAGGTAAGTTGGGCATGACAGTGCCGCTTTAAACCATTCAAGAATTGTTTAACCCCTTAAAGTAAGAAAGTGTTCAGGTGCCAATTTAAATGAAGTTGTTTTAGGTAACCTGAGTGTTCCTTTAATAGGCTCAAAATAGTTACATAGCTGAAAAGAGACATGCATCCATCAAGTTCAGCCTTCCTCACATTTTTTTTTTGCCGTTGATCCAAAAGAAAGCAAAAAAAACAACAACAAAAAAAACAGTTTAAAACACTTCAAATTTTTCAACAAACTAGGAAAGAAATTCCTTCTTTACCCCAGGATGGCATTCAGATTAATCTTTGGATCAAGAAGCTATTACCCTACATTGAAAAATTATAACCTTGAATATTCTGTTTTTGCAAGTATGCATCTAGTAGCTGTTTGAACATCTGTATGGACTATGATAAAACCACTTCTTCAGGCAGAAAATTTGACATCCTTATTGTTCTTACAGTAAAAAAAAAAAAAAAACCTTTCCTTTGCCTTAGACAAAATAGTCTTTCTTCCAGTCTAAACGCATGACCTTGTGTCCTATGTAAAGTCTGTTTTTTTTGCATAGATTTCCACACAATGGTTTGTATTGGCCCCAGATATATTTGTATAATTTTATTATATCCCCTCTGAGGAGATGTTTTACTAAACTAAAGAGGTTTAAATTTGTTAACCTTTCTTCATAGCTGATATGTTCCATTCCTTTTATTAATTTTGTAGCCCGCCTCTGCACTATTTCTAGTGCCATAATATCCTTCTTTAGAACAGGTGCCCAAAATTTCACAGCATATTCAAGATGTGGTCTTACCAGTGATTTATAAAGAGGCAAAATGATACTCATCCCAAAAATGAATGCCCTTTTTCATGCATGACTATAACTCACTGGCTTTAGCCACTGCTGATTGAAGTATGAATACATACACACACACACACACACACTGCTGAATACATACACACACAGTCCGCTGAATACATACACAAGGTCCACTGAATCAACACACTGCAGAGTACACACAGACTGCTGAATACATACACACACACACACACACACAGACTGCGGAGTACACACACAGACTGCTGAGTACACACACATGGTCTACTGAATACATACACATGGTCTACTGAATACATACACACAGTCCACTAAATACACACAGACTGCTGAATACATACACACACACATACTGCATTGAGGGGTGCAGTGTGTGTGTGTGTGTGTGTGTGTGAGGGGTGCTGTGTGTCTGAGTGAGGGGTGCAGTGTGTGTCTGTGTGCGTGTGTGAGGTAGGGGTGCTGTGTGTGTGTTGGAGGGTAGGGGTGCCGTGTGTGTGTTGGGGGTAGGGGTGCCGTGTGTGTGTTGGGGGTTGGGGTGCCGTGTGTGTGTGTGTTGGGGGTAGAGGGTGCGTGTGTGTGTGTTGGGGGGTAGGGGTGCGTGTGTGTGTGTGTGTTGGGGGTAGGGGTGCCGTGTGTGTGTTGGGGGGTAGGGGTGCTGTGTGTGTGTTGGGGGGTAGGGGTGCTGTGTGTGTGTGTTGGGGGGTAGGGCTCCCTGCCTGAGGCAGACAATGTCTATGGCTTGTAAGAGCACTAGTTGAAATATTAATAAGTGAACTATTTGTCAGGAAAATTATGCAAGAAGGACTGGTAAACATCTGAATGAGAAGAAACTGATAGCTGAAATTTGGACCTTGAGTGTGGCTGGTTTCAATCCTTTTGCAAAGCCCATTTGAAGGAATTTAAGGATGTTTGGAATGGAAGTGGCTACGGGATTTTCTTTGATCTTAATACACCAAAAACTAAATTTCTTCCATATTCTGGAATAAATCTCGGAAGTAGATTCTTTCTTAGCAGACATAAAAATCTCAATAACTTCAGGAGACAAACCCTTTTCCTTTAAGAACTGGTGTTTAGAAACTAGGAATCGGGAAGATACAACGCCAAGGCGCTGCGGGTCTTCAAGCTGAGAGGAGATGTTAAAACCAGCTTGACTGGCTCGACTCTCTCATTGGCTGCAAGCTCTAAAAGCATTCTTTATCTCTATTATTTATTCATAAGGATGTTACACGCAGCATTAGGTATTTCAGGAATTAATACCAGTACAGCTATATTCTGAAAATATCTGAGTCAGCATTCGATTTTGTGGTCTAGTCAAGCAATGAGTATCAATAATACATTTATTTATATATTTTTTCTTTAGCGTAAAATAGCATCTCCTTTTGTATGAGTCAGACAGTATTCCACTGTGTGTTTTATTATTTAAAAAGGATAGAAGCACATGATAGATGAATTTCATTGATAAAAGTCTACTGTGAATCAAACGTTACAATGGTGATGACAGAATACATGGTTTACATTCGAAAACTAAACAGACACCTAACTGATTGTACTATTAATAGAATGTTTTTCAACACACAATCGTTATTATAACTGATCTGAAGTTGTCAACGCAAATATTACAAAAAAAAGAGTATTTGGCCTGTTAAGATGCACTTTTTTTGTAGCAGTAGAAACAATATATTCAAAATGCCTTGTAATATGGACTAAGTTCAACTTAACAAGATGAAGCAGAATTTGGTTAGCATTGTGATCCTCCTTTGATAAAGTCCTGACATAAGTAAAATGCATAAAGCTTTCTGTTGAACTCTACATATACTAAAATAAGGCAATCTCTATCTTTCCAGTGGCTTTTTTGTCTCAGGTAGTACAAAGCTACTAAAATTGACAGCTATTTGTATGGCTGTGATTGCATGGAGCTCTGCTACATTTTTTTCAGGGGCAAAGGAATTATTAAAGAAGCACTCCAAGCACCATAACCACCACTGTGCACGGGCCTGGAGGCTGCAGGGGAGGCAGGAAGGCGTTCATCCCGGTCAGACTGATTCAATTGTAGTGGAGCGCCAGGGCACTCCTGGCACCATGACCACTACAGCAGACTGTAGTGTTTATGTTGCTTGAAGTATTCCTTTAAGAGAAAATATCACTGCATATTTCTTAAGGGAAAATGTTTGCCTTTTCCAATCACACATATGGAGCTTTGAGGACCTCTTTTTTTTTTTTTTTTTTATTGAACTGTACATTTTAATGCAGATTGAATATAAACTATATACAGTGATGGAAAAAAAGTATTTGATCCCCTGCTGATTTTGAATGTTTGCCCACTGACAAAGCATACATTTTTACTTACTGCAAATTTATTTTTCCTGAAGATTAGAGGCAGTGCTTTACAACAGGGATTTCTAATTTGGAGGGAAAAAATAGGCAGGCAAACCCCCCCAATTTTTAAGTACCTCCCCACAAATTACCTTTGGCACTATAAAGTGACTCTTACCTCAAAATGCCCCAGCAAATACAAAAGCCGGATAACTGTAAAATTTAGTTTAATTAGAAAATCAGTTGGGGAAAGTGAGCACTGCCTCTAATCTTCAGAAAAAAGAAATTTACAGTAAGTAAAAATGTATGCTTTTCCCTTCAGATTAGAGGCAGTGCTTTACAACAGGGATAATCAAAGCAATCCCCTAAGGGCGGGACTCATTTTACAACTGCTTGTAACACTTTGCGTCCAAAAGTTGCGTCTTCCGAGGCAATTTTCGTTCTTTTTTCTTCTGGAAGAAAGATCTTCATACTGACTGTGTCTATAATCAAACCCAGAAACTGTATTCGCTGGACTGAAACTAATTCTAACTTTACGAAACTTATCAACCAACCACTTTTAGGGAGTCTAAAGCCATACTGAGGTCTTTAAAAAAAAAAGTTGTTCTTTTGAGTCTGCAATTAAAAGCCAGTCGTCCAAATAAGGGATGACATTGATGTCACTTAAATCTGTGGAAATAACTACCAGAATCTTTGTGAACACTCTTGGGGCTGAAGAAAGACCAAAAGGAAGTGCTCTGAACTGATAATGCAGAGTCTGTCTCTGGAAGTTGATTGCAAACCTTAGGAATCTTTTGCTGCATTCTGTGATGGGAATGTGTAAATGTGCGTCTTTTAGATCTAGAGAAAAAAGCCAATTGCCTGGTTGAATAATCTGAGTTCCAGACTTTGTTTCTATATGAAACTTTTTTTTTTTTTAGAATAAACTTGTTGACTGTCTTGAGATCTAAAATGGGTCTGTAAGAACCATCTGGCTTTGGAACCGAAAAGAGCCTTGAATAAGTGCCCAGGAACCTTTCTTTTAATTAAACACTTTCTATCACATTCTTTAGCTTTGACACTTCTCCCATAAGAGCTTTTTTTTTGGACTGCAGAGCATAAAATGTTTCTCCTTGGGGTCTCTGATAGTTCCAGATAGTAACCATTCCTTATCACTGAAAGAATCCAGCGATCTGAGGTAGTTTTTTGCCAGAAATTCAGAAAGTGTGTGAGTCTTCCGCCAACAGGAATGGCGTCATAAGTTTCTATCATTTTTGTCAGAGAACTTCTCTTTTTTCTTGTAGTCAAACACCCATCTTTTTTTTTTTACCTCTGTAAGTGTTTCTTCGAAAGGAGCCTCTGTAAGTGGATTGGGCTCTAAAAAAAGCATTTTATTCCCATGCTGCTTCCTGTTGTCTACTGGTAATGCTTCCTTACCATCCTTCATTTGCTTCAAAATATCATCTAATTTGGAACCAAAAAGTCTGCCTGGTTCAAAAGGAATGTCACATAGAGAATCTTAGGATGCTGAATCAGCCGATCAGTTTCGCAACCATACAGCTCTTCTTGCCACCGTAGATAAACCCATAGCTTTAGACGAGACCTTCAGACTTTCTGTAGAGGAATCAACAAGGAAATCAGATGCCATCTTGATATTTTGTAACAACTGAACTGGATCTTCTTTGGATTCACCTGCATATTTTTTTTTTCTAATTCTTTCAGCCAGTGCCTTTGCCAATGAAGTACCTGCAATCAGTGCTTTGCATTGAGATGCTGAGGAGACAAACAGTTTCTTCAAAGAAGAATCAATATGCTTTTCCATAGCATCTTTCAAGCCACTAGAATCCCCAATAGGTAAAGTGGTCTTTTTTCCTACCTGAGCTATAGGGACATCTACTGATGGTAACGAGAGGCACTCTGTGTCCTCTCTGATGGAAAAGAGAGCTTTAAAGTGCTTAGAAACAAAAGGTTTTCTTACTGCGAATTTCCATTCCCTTAACATCAAATCCTTTAACTGTGGATGAAAAGGAAAAACCTTGGATTCCTTTCCTTTGGTCCTGAATTGTTCCTGATCACCCATCAGAAACTGGACTTCCTTAACTAGTTTTCCGACAGATTCCTCTGGAAAAGAAAAGTATTCATCAGAAAAATCACTGGAATCCTCATCTCTGGATTCTGAAACTGAAGATACAGAGCTTGCGTAAGGCAATTCCCATGATCTAAGCCTTTTCTCAGCAGGATTTATTTACTGCTGAATCTTGGGAAGCAGAGGCCTGAGCAGACTGAACGGCTGCAGACTGCATTTCAACAAATGTTTGTTGCAAACTTTGATGGAAACAACTTAAGAAAGTTGTCATCTCCGATTTCTTTGCTTCCTCAGAAGCCTCTTTAGTACAAATGGAACAAATCTTTAACTTATATCTATCCGGCATGGGTTGGGAAGATGCAGCGCAGATGAAATGTTTCGATTTTAGAGAACATTTCCCTTTCTCTGAAGCTCTCAACACAGTCTCAGGATTAGACATACTGAAGAGAAAAAGAGAGCAAGAGGGGAAAAAAAATGAACAAAATATAAAATGTTATAATTCAGGCCTCAAAGTGTGTTGGAGGGCAGGTGAGAACACACTTACAACAGATTCTGAGTGCACCTGGCAAACAGTTGCTGCTGGTTAAATAGCCTCTAAAAAGTCCCGGATATATATATATATATATATATATATATATATATATATTTATTTATTTTATTATTCTGTCCCTCACTGTTAAAATACACCTACCATAAAAATTATAGACTGGTCATTTCTTTGTCAGTGGGCAAATGTTCAAAATCAGCAGGGGATCAAATACTTTTCCCCCCTCACTGTGTATATATATCAAGTCATTAGGAGAGCCAGTGAAAGTAGCAACCTGCTTAAATACCAAGCTCTTGTAGGTTAAAAAAAATAAACATACCTACAAAAGGCTGTTAATGGATACCAAAAAAAAAGTATAAATCACAGCTCAAAAATGTGTCATATGCTACGAGCCAGGCCTAAGAGTAGTTAGCTACTGAAAAGCTTCTCCTACTATGTGATCTTTTTAACAGGCAAGAAAACAGTACATGCCCTACTATAGAACATCAGATTTGAAAAGAGATATATATATATATATATATATATATATATATATATATATAGTTAATACAATGCTAAACAAAAATCTGCACACCAGTCAAGCCATAAGACTTGCTTTTCCCACAGAAATCCCAAATCAGCAGTGATGTTACAACCGCAAAGGATTCTGGGTGGGCATATGCAAATTAGTTTAACAAAGAATCACATTTTTGCCTCATTCCATTTTAAACATGGATTCCTTTTAATTTGTGTTTGCAGTATACAACTGCTTGGAACACAATTTAGGATAAGATGCAAAACCAGTGAACCACTCATGGACAGCTGTTTCGTTGTTAATGCAACTCTTCAGCATGAGGTTGGTTACTGGTTTGCTTAGTAAGGCTTGGTAGTGCTTGGGAAGCAAAATTCAAGCAAGTCTTATGGCTTGACTGGTGTGCAGATTTTTGTTTAGCATTGTATTAACTATCCACATACTTCAGGTGGAAGGGGTTTTCAATCACAATTTTTCCCCACCATAACCTAATTGAAATATATATATATATATATATATATATATATATATATATATATATATATATATATATATATATATATATATATATATATATATATACATACATATACATATACATATATATATATACATACATATAAATAATTTGTTTTAACCTTATTTTCACTTACATTTTAAAGCAGTTTCTTCACACACACACACGATCACTTTATATCCATATATTTTTTATTTTTTTTTAATTCTTTATTTTTGCAGTGCAAATATACATTACAGGCTGGCGAGAGGTGCCCCAAAAGCAGTCCTCTGGCTTTTCCCACGCTTAACATGCGGGGCACATGGATAACAGGCACAATTTTTAAACATGCTTAAACATTTGGATTTAAACATAGATGGTGATTACAA